TTAAAAAAATTTCTTAAGACCATCCCATCAATGAAACGGAGAATTTTCACAACAAATCGTTTAATAGATTATTGTTTAAAGCTTTAAACTAATTAGGTTGCAATTAAGCCATATTTTTTGCTTTTTCTTTGTCAATACTAATTTGGTCACAATTATTAATTTAATTACAGATTAGCAATTAGTTAATTGGTTGCCTGTGTGAACAGTGTGTGCGTACGATGCAAAGCTCAGATAATATCATAAAGTTTTTTCGTCAATAAATGGCATAAATAGTTCTCTAGGAAGTAGATTAGGTAAAAAGACGAACGCAGATGAGTCTTTAGGAGACGCGGGACTGAAATTCTTCTCACACTACCATGTCCTCCCTGAAGCAACCCGCGGACTTGAGAATTTAGTACTCTTTGGCTGCAGGCTTAAAGTTTAACTTAAGTGAGTTAAGGAATTTCAAGAAGAATCTAACATACTGCAGAAAGCTCAATTGCATTTCCTCTCTCTTTCCTTCAAGCAATGATTCATTTCGCATTTAAACATAGCTGGGCTAATCACGAGTGAAGTCACTGGAAATGTTTTTCTTGAAGTATCAGTTTCGTGCTTATCACCAACGGACATAGAGAACTATTTCCTCTTAGACAGTTTAGTCTTGCATTAAATTAGAAAATTCTCGGCATGTTTCTCCTGAGCCAAAATGCCTTACTAAAGGAAGGTGGGGATCATGGATAGTGCTCATAGTCTGTTAGCAGTCTCTAGCTCTAGCTCTTCAGACTGCTCTCTTTCTAACTCAGGCTAACATTCTTTCTAACAGCTCCGTAAAGAGCGAATCCGCGCGCTGTGTGTAACTTCTATTGAAATAAGGTGCTTAACATAGCTACATTTTGACATGTTATGTAATGATGATGCGGAAAGTAATTTCACTAGAATTTCAGACATTTTTGAAGATCGTTGACGCCTCGGTGAAGTGTTGAAGTGTTAATCCACTAGACTTTTCCGGCCATTTTGAGTTAAGTTAATGATCTCCTCAAATTATACTCATCCGGCTCAATTGCATTAACCCGATAGCCGATAGGAAGTCTCGAGGTAGAAAAAAACTCAATTGATTTTAAAATATTCCATAACGAAAGCTCACCAAGTCCAAATCAAAGAATACTGTTAAACGAAAACAAGGTCGCTACTTTTTTCACTTACATACATGCAAACATACATATTATATGTGAATATGTATATGTATGTACATCCATACAGACGACAAAAAGTTGACTTTGCAAAATGTTCAGAGCGCAGAAAAAGTACAACAAAAATAACAACGCCGGAGACTGTCTAAGCACGCGGACAGGAAGCGCTTGACGACCAAACTATTCCTGTTTTTCATTCATTCATTCATTCACTCATTCAACCACTCGTTCACTACATACATATATGTATGTCTCTATGTATGTATGTACGAGTACAGCATCCCAAGTGCTTCTGGCTTTAGCCATTGTTTTTGTTATTATTGTGACCGGTTTGGCATGCGCACATTTAAAATAAATACAAACAACAAATCAACGCAGCTGGAGATGAGAAAAGTAGCGGGGGAACGGCCGGTTGGTTGGACAATCATTGCTACGTGGTTATATGTATGTGTATATAGTAGCCCTGGGGTTCGGATGTTTTTGCCAAGCTCCAAATGAGCCAATGGAGCACGCTAAAAGCAGCAGCAACAACATCAACAACAAGAACAGCTAGCGAGCTCGTCAGGCTACAAGTGGAACTCTTAACAGAAATCAAAAAAAAAAAAAACACAAAAAATACAAAAAATTATAACAACAACATCACACAATCACCGTGGCCAAGTGCCGGGCTTCGCAACCAGAATATTCTTGAAAGTGAGACGAAAGTGTAGAAAGAAGCAGCAGGTTGACCGGCGCTAGACCGGACGTTGTTTCTTGAACGAACGGTCGACTCGCGCTAAACTCAGAACGCATCGCAACGAAGATCAGCGCAGCGTAATGTCTTGGCCAAAGCAGTTGCAGTCGTCGGCGTCGAAGTAGTGGCGACGAGTGGCGCAACAGGTAAGCGCGCCGCCATTCAGTGATCGAAGTTAACTGGGATGAAATGACGAAGACCATAATAGCAACAAGCAACAACAACAACAGCAGCAGCGGCCTTTAACTGTGACCGACGAGAGACCGACCAACCGACCAACCGAGCAACCGAGCAACTCACGTAGCTGTATTAAGATATACGAGTATTGAAAAGTAACAACAAAAACAAATACTCATAAACAACGGCAAGTCAAATCAAACCGAACTGAACCGAACCCAAACCCAACCAACTAAAGATGATACAAAACAAACGAGCAACAACAAAAACACCAACAAACAAGCACTAGTTTCCGGTCGTAGTAAAAATGACAAGTCAAAAGTGTTCTACAAAAACAAAAAAAGAAAAAAAGGAGATAAAAATGACAATAACAATGAAGAAGACTACGTAAACCACGCCATAAATGTACAAAAATGGCAACAAAAACAAAAATATTGCTTCGTTACAAAAAGGCGGGGAAACGCGTGGTAGAAGACCACATTTGACGGGCGGACCGACTAACCGAGGAACGGGCGGATGGGATCTATGGTATGAAGAAGTAAGAGCATAATGGTCAAAGCGAGCTGAGTCGGCGGATTGCCCTTGGACGGAATGATGACCGAACGTAGGGGCGTATGAACAGACGGATAATCGCTGAATGAATGTATGTACAAGCAAATAAATAAACGAGCCAGCGCATGAATAGCAAACGCAACTCCAATAACAAGAACAACAGTAATAATACGAAGTCAGCGGACGTCAGAGTAGATTACCGAGAAGACGATAAAATAAAGGAAATACAGAAAACATTCCAGCGTAAGGCATGTTTACAAGCAGCGTGGGGGCGAAGACGACAGACTTTAGACCGATGGAACGAGCACGGACCGCGGGTGCCCCAAATAACAGAAGTATGAGCAGATCTCAGTACGCGCGAATGGAATGAATGAGTCCTTTGGAACCAAAGGGCAACTTATGTGCGAACGCCTAGGTAATAGGGCTTTGCAACGAATTTAAATGTACCTCAGACGGTCTTTACATATGTACATATATTTTGTTGATCTTGTATAAGAATCGCGTTTCCGGGGAGCGTTATATACTCTAACACCTGGCAACTCTGCACACAACAAGCACGCCTGTGGCTGCGGCTGCGCAAAAGTACGACCTCACCAACAGCAAAAATCGAAACAACATGAAATACCAATAAATGCTCCGTTTCCACTGCACTTATACACATGCAAACATACGTACAATTTGAAACTCCGCAGAGAGTCAACGCAACGCCGGATGCTGCTGTCTAAGAGTGACTGAAGCAGTACAGCAAAGCAGAAGCAGCAGCAGCTGCAATTGCGCCACCGTCCGAGCATCAACATTTACCTTAACTTACCAGCAGCGCAGCCGTTTGCGGAGTAGAAGAGCGGCAATTGGGTGATGAGCGAGCATAGCAGAGCAGAACAAAGTCAAATAGAGAAGGCAAGGCAAGGCAAAGCAGCGCTTCATTCATTCATATCTTCGAGCGCTCCATTCATAAATTGCTTGAGAAACAAGTGGCAAAGACGAGCGAGCGGAAGCGTAACCGCAGATTGTAAGAGCACAAGTGCCTGTGTATGTAAGCGACAACAGAACAAAGCGGTAACAGATGTGATGCTGCAGAGTACATACCCCCTAGGAAAAAAAAAGACAAGAGAAACCTCATGCCAGTCTCTATGGGATACAACCAGACATTTAAGATCACTTTATTGGCGGCCATAATACCCCGAGTGGTTAGCATTGCATAATAATATCCGGAAGACCAGAGTTCAAGTCCTAATTCGACCAACATTCAAAACTATTGAATATTGATTGTTCTAACTGCGGTCGCCTCGCAGTAGGAAATATCAAGCAAGTAAATTAAAGCTCATCACAAAAATCCTTCGTCCGCTTCAGTGGCATACAATTATTGGCTAAAGAAAAAGGCTCTCCCGGATTTCTTTAGAGTTGAAATAAATCTTGATTTTCTTGCCAATATTTGTACAATGTACACAAGTACAAGATATAGAAGAGAGGACTCATTTGATTTTGCCCTACTGTCTGACCAGATCAACTTAGACTGTTTGAACTAGAGCTTATTTGTAAAATACATGTCAAGCAAACATCCAATACTCTTATGAAGTCCGAAACCATTTTCAAAGCCAATCCAGCCAACGGAAGTGGATACACTCATTTTCCGTGGCAATCAATCTTGACATACAGCAGTACAAACCACTAGCGCCTCTAACTTTTGCGAGTTTTCTTTGTGAGATTCCTCTCTCTTCCACCTCAAATTCCGCATTCTACTATATATCGATGTCGAGTGATGTCGATTTTAAGACTTTCTGTAGCATTCGCAGCTACGAAGCTCTTAGATGTCCATGACGTATTCTAGATATGGCCGGACAGAATCAGAGAAGATGCTTCAACGTGGGACTCATACCTTCTTCTATGCACTTAAGCTGAAAGTAGAAAACTTTAAAGAGTTCTGACATTAGAAAAATTTCCAACAGGGCCATTTGAAACATAGGCACATATGTACATACCCACCAAGTACGAAGTCTCTGCTACTATACACGAGCACCGCACGATGGAGGCCATACGTGAACTGCAATTACAACGTACAGGTAAGCGAAGACACAAAGAGAAGACACTGTGCTTGTATTGGTTTTCATTCAAGTTTTCGGTGCAGCGTTGTCGACAACTGGCGAGCGTATACGCTAACCGCAATCACGAACAGCCAACTCACCAACACACGAACAGACGAATAGGCGAATGAATGATCGACCATTGACAACGACGGCTGATAAAACGTCTACAACTACAACAACGACTAACCAACCACTGACGCTACAGTGCTGCCGTCGCCACTGCCGACGCCGACGCACAGTCGTATGCACACAAGCACATAGCGGCCACTTTGCGACGAACGATAAGCAAATGCGAGCGTTGCTAGTTTTCGTATCTTTCAGTTTGTTTGATCAGTTCGAAATGTAAAGTTGAAGTCGCAAGCGAAAAATTTTCAAATTTTGTGCAAACAAAATTTTAAGTGAAAAAGTTAAAAAAAAAATTAAATAAAATTGTTGGTACAATAAAAAACGAAGTCGAATTAAATGCGAAGAACATACATACGTACGATTAAGCGTGAAGCTAACTGTAATTTATGAAACGAGCTCGAAGTTCGAAGGACCTTTTGAGAAAAGTGCGTGAAAATTTTTTTATTTTTTTTATGAAGCAGCACTTTTTGGGGTTTAAAACTAAAAAGTCTGGTCTGTTAGTGTGAGTTGGAGTTTTTTTTTTTTAACAAAAATTTATACGTACATAAATATGTGCATAAAAGCATATGTACGTAATATGTATGTAAATGCATATGTGTCTATGCACGTCTATATATGAAGTTAGTTGTTGTTGTAAATGTTCAGCGCGATCAATGAAGTTTTTTATGAATGAATGAATGAAAACAAGTTGTAAATGCGCGCGCACACTTCATTCAATAAATACTTGACTAAACATATTTATGTATGTGTTTGTGTGTATTCTTTTTAATGTGTGTATGAATGTTTTCAAAATCTACTGTAGTTATTTTTTCACCGACTAGTTTTTCGAGTTACGCGGCTCGTGACCAAATGCGCTGCAACAACAACGACGCCAGCGACGTTAACGGGCGTGATTTCGATCTAACGAATATTCAGTTGAATATTTGTACGTGTATATATATGTACGTATGTACGAATGCTTTTTTGTGGCATGTTGTAAAATACGTGAATAGATAGGCAAAGGTGTTTTTCCGACGAACATTTTCAAAATGAAAATTAAAAAAAAAACGGAGAAAATTGTATGCAAAAGCAAAAGGATAATGATAAAAATCAAAATTGCTTTTTTTTCTTGATATTTTGCATATAATGGTATGACTTTTTAAAACCTTTCAAAAATGTAATGGAATTTTTATAATTTTTTCTATGATAAAATATAAAAAAACCGTTAAAAATGTATTTTAACTAATTAAAAATTTAAAAAAGGTTATTAAAACTTCATTTCCAATTTTAAATTATATTATTAATTAAATAGCAATCGAAAAATAATTTTATATTAAAAAAAATGTTTTACTTTTTGGAGTTAATTTCATTAAAAAAATTAGGCAGAGCATTGTTTTTTCCACAATTACTTCGAATTTAAAATTCTCTTTTGTATCGGCATAATTTCAAATCAATTTTCGTTTGCAATCAGCCGGAAAAGAGCTAAATTAGGGCGCCAATGAAAAGCTGTAGATTGAATGCTGAAAAGGCAATTGCCGAAGCGAGAGTTGTTTTCTATCCTAGAAGTGTGGAGAAAATCAATACCAAAATTGACAAGGCAGCAAATGTATTTTGTTAGGTTTAGAAATATTTAAAAATAGACAAATAATAATAAAGTAAATTCTCTGCGCATATTTGAAAAATCTAAAACTTAAGGAAAAAATCTGTAAAATTGCGCAAAATATTTACAATAAATAAATAAAAAAATGCTAAAAATAGCAACCTGTCGAAATAAACAAAAGTCGCATAACAAAATATGTTTATATACGCACATACACAAATACATACATACATATGTACATATATGTACAACTTAATATCAATTTATAAACTCATATGTATATTAGAAAATGTCCAGCTAGTAAGTTGATTAAACACACATATGTATGTAGATAATTATGTAAAAAATAAGAAAAAAATGTTTCATTGACAAAAACCAACAAAAAAATTGATTTTAAATATATATACATATATACATACAGCATATATTATAACAAATAAAATACGCGTAAATTAAAATGTAATAAAATATATATGTTATACAATTAATGTCAAAAAGATATATAATAAAATAAAGAAAATAAATTTAAATAATGATATGAAATAAATTACAATAAAATATAGTAAAATCTTAAAATATAAAAAATTAATCACAACAACACAAAATATAGCAGAATAAAATTATGTTAAATGAAAAGAAATGGAACAAAAAATAAAAATATTTCATTTTTCAATACAAACTATAAAATAAAATTTGAAATAAAATGAAATTAATTTAAATCCAACAAAATAAAATGAAAATATTAAAACTTTTTAAATAAAATCAGCAATTAAAAGTAAAATGGAAATATTAAAAAAGAAAATATAACAAAACAAAAGAAATAAAAAATATATAAATGTAAATTCAGCACCTCAAAACTTATTTAAAGAAATGAAAATTTTAGGAAAAAGTAAAAAAAAAATTTACAAAATTAAGACATCAAATAAGATAAAGAATAAAACTAACTTAATGAAAGAAATTAAAAAATATTAAAAATAAAAATTCTTCACAATAAAACAAAATTAAATGAATTAAAAAACCCAAAACAATGTAGTAAAAAATAAAGTGAAACATAATAAATTAATATAGTACAAAATAAAGTAAAACAAATTAATGTAAAAGCAAACAATAAAAATAAAAGTAATTAAAATAAAAGAAGCTAAAATCACACGAAACAATGAAAACATTAAATAAAATAGGACTAATTGAATTAATATAAATTTAAATAAAATAAAAAGTTAATATACAAATACATACATATTTACATGTACAAGCTTTTTAAAATTGTGCAAGAAAAAAATTTAATTTTATTTCCACCACCCTCAACTTGAACATTCTTCAACAAACGTCAATTATTATTTTCCAACTTTCAGAAAGTACAAAACAATATATATATATATAATAAATACATACACACATAAGTGAATAAGAACAAAATTGTGCATAACCTAAAAATCAATAAGCCAAAAACAATAAATGTTGCTACATTGTTGAGGAAAATTGCAGGAAATTGCAAAATTTGCAGAAAGAGAAAAAAAATAACAGAAAATTCGTTTAAAAGTTGTTCCACAAACAACACAAACATTTTTACGAAAACTATAGAAAATACATACATACATACATACATGTATGAACCTCCATGTACGTAGTATAATACCACACAAACAATCGACATATATAGAGATTTTTACATATAAGCAAGCAAAGCGACGTAATCGATGCCAACCAAACTCACATAAAAATCGTTTACAAATTGAAACGCTTACAAAACGAGCTATCGAATAGAGTCAACAACAATGCACTAACATACATATGTAATAGTATTATTGGTGCAAAGTAACGACGTAAATATGTTTATACATCATATGGGTATAATGTTGACGAGATAAATAACGTTTTAGTTGTTAAGAGCACATAAATACAGTTTACAAAAACAAAAAGAAAATATAAAAAATTAAAAAAAAAAAACAATAACAAAAGTGTGCAAAACAAATGCTCAAGGTGTACAAGTAAAGCGTTAAAGTGTCAATTACAAACCGTCAAAGTGTTGCTTAAACACACAAAGCAGAAACAACAATAACAACAACGAAAATTAATAATTAATACGAAGCAACAAACTCTATTCAACCAAGAGTGCAAAATATACAGAGAAACAAATATATATTTTCGCTTTTAAATCAACTGAAAACAACAAATAAACAACAACAAAATGTTGCTGCCACACACCATACTCCTCACACTGCTGCTCTGTTGCCAAGAATTGACTACCGCCTGGGCGACACGTCTACCACTGGAAGTGTACGAGCTGACAGCAGCCGCGGCGGCAGCCAGCAACGCAGCCGATGATGGCAGCACAAATAATTATACGCGGCATCGAAATTTGGAATATGCAACGGTGGATGCGAAAATGTTGCAACATGCGACGGCAGCAGCAGCAGCGGTGACTGCGGCGACAAGAACAACAACAAAAAGTACTATACAAAGCCAAGCGGCAATTGCAACAGATTTGCCAGCAGGTGTGCCATCGCAACAACAGCAAGAGCAAGAGACGAGTGATCTTCATGCTGATCATCGTCGCTCACGCCAGATGTTGGAGATCATTGAACAGCAACAACGTGAACATCAACTGCAACAACAACAACAACAACAATTACAGCAGCAGCATAAATACCATCGTGAGTCTCTGTTACAGCAACAACACCAGCAGTTAAAGCTCAGCAAAGCCACAAATCCATATGCAACATATGAGAAGGATAATAATAGTTATAACAGGCAGCGGCACGGTAGCGGCGGGGAGAGACGCATTGGTGGCGTACAGGATGTGCGTATACTCTATCAAGTTGGGGTAAGTCGATGGATAATTATATTTTTCTTAACATTATTCTCTTTTTATTTTTTTAATATACACTTTTTTGGCTTATGCTGAGGAGAATTTTGATTTATAATTTCTTACTTGTCCGTTTTAATCTTATGAGTATCATGACCCTCTTCACTCTCTGTTTTTCCTTCTCTCTCTCTTCCTCTCTTTCCTCATATCTCCTTCCTTCTCTCTCTCTTATATATATGTTTTTATGCTCTTGCTCATATCTTCAAGGAAAAATGCGACTCTGAATGTCCTTGAATTGATCTATTGAGTTTTGAGTAACAATTCAGACATACATATAAATATTTGATTAAACATGAAAGAAAAGCATAAGCCGATCTAATGATTATTATGTAACATTCCTTGTAATAAAAATTATAATTTTTCTCGGTCAGTGGAACCAAAATAGCTCTTTTGACTTTTCTTCGATTTATGGTATGAGCTTTTGCTTTCGAGTAATCACTTATTGGCATATTTCATCTTAATCTTTCTACGACTCATTTCAATATGATTCATGGATCTCCAGAGGCTCTCTCCAAAACTTTGTCCTTACCACATCGCTTGTCCCTTTTTCACAGAGACGGACAGGTTATTTGACTTGAATGTAAATAACTTGAAAAATAGTGGTTTTAGGCATTGCTAAATTCTCGAGTTTATTTTCGGGTCTATAGAAAGCCAACTCTTCAGATGATCCATCTTGAAAAAATAGAAAAAACCCAAAAGTATTTTTTTCAGTCTCAACAAGGGCCATTATTTTCAAAGCTTTCTTTTTTCAATTTCAGGGTGTTCTACAGTATCACACACCAAAGAATTATAACTGATAATCTTCAAAAAAATGCTAAAAAATAATGTACAATAAACTTTTATTTCCGGTGGATGTGTTATTTCCTGTAATCTTTCTGTTGACATTTTTGCCCCCGAGACCTTTAGTTCATAATTGCTTACATGCACGCGTCAATAACAAGAAGAAGAAAAACAGAAATTCTTGTGGTGTTACTCATTGGGTTATCAACAAGTTTGATCCAACTTTGTGTACTTTATTGACCCGAAATTGACCTTAGTTGATATACTTACATTTTTTTTGTATTACACATATACTCACAACCATACTTATATACCGATGAAATGCGTGTATATAAACTTCCTCACTTCCTAACTCTTTCTTGTATGAACAAGTCTTAGCTTTCTTAAAGCCGCCCTAGTCTTTCGACTCATTTGCTCAAATTTAAGATGAAATTAAATAAAAAGATGTATTGTATATATATGTAGATATATTATTAGATGTGCTCATATGTACGAGCATATGTACAAGCTTTTACATAGCTCGCTCTTTTATGTTCATTTAATTGTTGTAACTTTGTTCTTTATGTTTCTAATTTCTTAATTCGTATTTTTTTATTACTTTACTACTTGTTTGCCTAATGGCCTGCTCCCAATTACTGATCTTCATCATCACTCAAATGACTATGTCATAAATATATTTGTATGTGAACATATTCTTATGTTGGTTGCATTTGTACTCACTGCCCACCCATATCGAGTCTTGAGCGTAGACATGGACCGAATGGATTTTTTTTTAAAGCTATGAAGTTATCTTTAGTTTAGCTTGGATGAAAGGATTCAACAAATTGGTAGCAGTAAATATGATTATAAACTTTATTACATATTTAATACATATTTTGAAGGATTTTTTCCTTTATTATTTTATTTTATTTTATTTTATTTTATTTTATTTTATTTTATTTTATTTTATTTTATTTTATTTTATTTTATTTTATTTTATTTTATTTAGTTTCATTTTATTTAAATTTATAATTTATATATTATTTGATCGTACATACAATTATATGTATGTATGTATGTCTTTATAGTGTTTATCTTCTTATTCAATTAAATGCCGTCAATTAATTTATGTATGACGACGTATAAATTGCGAAAACAACAACAACAATTGGTATTTGTAGGCACCTTTGGCCAATTATAGTGGGAGGTTGAAAGTTCAAGTTTTACATAATTATTTTGTTCTACGTATTACACAATTGTCATATGTGCTTTTTTTTCGTATTTTAATCATCATTTATGATCTGCTTGCATGTACAAAGTCTATCAAAAATGGGGTTTCTCGTAAATTTTCTAATGACGAATGCATAAAAAGTTTCATACGAAAATGACAAACATACAAATGTAGACTTTTCTGGAAACTGCGTATATAATGCAGGAAAAAAATCGAAAACTTATTACAAATGTTTGGTGTCTCCTTCACATAAAAATAATTCTTCAGGGTAGAAAAAGATTGAAAAAAAGGAAAAAAAAAAATTTTTTATTTCTATTTTAACAGTTAACGTGACTTTAGTGCTTCTTAGTATAATTTTTCGAAAACTCAGTTTCTTTCTTACGTGTTTTTTCCTCTGGAAATATTTTATAAAAGCCCTTGCTTGCAATTGCCTTTGCATAAACAAAGTTATTGGCTGATAAGTAAAAAAAAAAACCATGAAATAAGTAGAAGAATCACTCCTTTATATTTTTATGAATTCCTACACACGTTCATAAATCCGTAGTAATTTATAGCCAATTATAAAATCAAAGCATACGCATAAGCATACATATATACATGTATACAGCTTCATTTAAGTTTGTGGCAAGCTGGCTTTCTTCAACAAATCTAATGTCAAGTCATAAACAATGCTTTCGCCAACAGCTGCAAATGAAAGCCAATCAATTATAATAACAAATTGTAGCAGCAATGAGAATGATGAAAATGTTGAAGGGCAAAACCAACGGCGTCATATAGATATTTTCGAAAACTTTTTCACTCCATTGAGAATCATTATAAAATACGAAACAATAATGCAACAAAATATAACGAAAAGGTATAAAATGAAATGAAAAAAAAAAAATAAATAAAGTAATATAAAAAATTTAAAAAAAAATTAATAAATTAAAAAACATGTGATAAAAAAATTACATATAACGAAATAAAAAAGACAAATTAAGATATAATAAAAAGCAATAAAACAAAATAAAAATGAAAAATTAAGTTTGAATGAAATTTAAAAACAAAATAAAATAAAAAATATAAATAAAAAACAATTAATTAAAAAAATTAAATTAAACCAACCCCACAAGATCATAAGCTAATAAAAAGTAATAAAAAGTAATAAAACAAAATAAAAATGAAAATTTAAAGTTGATAGAGTAAAATAACATAAAATAAAAGTGAATAAATCAAAAATTGGGGAAAGAACTTAAAGTTAAAAAAAATTATGAATTAAACCAACCTCACAAGCACATAATTCAAGTTGAAAATTCGTTAAATTTTGCAAACGCAAAGTAGAATATTTGAAAAACTATAAATAATTATGCTAATTTTTAAAAACATTTTTTTTTCATACACAAATATTGCATATTTATGCCAAACACATTGACAATATCGAGATATGCGCAGATTTTCTAACACACACATATACACATACATATGTATATAATATGAGCTGATAAATTTGTCGGTGTATATACGTGTATGTATGTATATGCATGTCTGATTGCCCATATCATGTTTTATTTCATGATTTATTTAGACAACATTCCATAGCTAGAGCTGTTTACGGTATTTAACACTCAACAAGCGTGGGCCGATGGACCGACCGGCCGACAACAGGCAACGAGCAACAAGCAGCAGACTAACAAACAATCAAAAAATGCGAGTCAACAACAACATACACGTATGTATATAAATATAGAGTTTGCTGATCTACCAATTGATGCTGGCTAAAATACATATAAACAAATATACATATACTCATACATACATATGTACATACGTGTATGCATGTAAGTAAGTATATGAGAGAATAGTGAATATACAAATGGAAATATTCAACGCCAAGCCCAGCAATATCAACATGTAATGCTGTTTTAGCCAAGTCATTCACTCAATCAATAAGTTAGCTAAACAATTAAGAAAAAACAAACATATTTACATATTATCGTGTCGAGTGGATGTGCATGTTTGTTCTTTGGAGCAGGTGTATCATGAGTTTTGTATTTAATTATTCTCTTGATGCGCTCTATTATGCATCTTAAGTTCAATTCACATTAATTATGCAGTTAATGGCAAATGTTTTGGTTGGCAATAATTCTGCTTCAATGACTTTTAAAACTCTATACTGTAGGGAAATATATTATTAAAAAAAAAGAAACAAAGTGAAAATTTTTCTTTTTCTAAAAACTTCATATTTTTCGAAACTTTTATGTTTTTTCTATACATACATATTCGTACATATGTTTCTGTATAACCCATAGCCCGTCGATATCCTATTGAAAATATTACTAAATATAGATTTCATAAAAATCTTTGCCTCTACTGTAAATTAAATTAAGCTCAATTGGAATAGTCGACAACCTGTTGGCAGCTCTGTTAAAATGTTTGCGTAAAATTTAATTTTGTTTGAAAAATATGTCCAATTGTATTTACATCGCAAAAAGTTGCCAATTTTTTTCGAAAACATACTATCCGAAATGTGGAAACAACTTTGCTTTACTATATTTAGTGCCGCAAATACTTTCATTTAGATGGCAACTCTGCAAAAAATATACTTGACTTTTAACATTGTAAGCGTAATTAATACCAAAAATATTGCAAAAGATTTTTTAATTTCTTGAAAATTTTCAAACATCTGGCAATACTGCTGCAAAATTTTTCCTTAATGGAATTAATTTTTCATATTACTTGCATCTTTTAAATCGCACACCCTCATATCTACACACCTGCATTAGTTTGGATGAATCTATATTTATAAATAATATTTTTCAATCACAATTTGTTTTGTGTTTTTTTTTTCTTTTTTTCACTAATAACTCGTTGTCTCAACAATCAACTTTAGAAATTCGCAACTTCCGTAACCACTTTTTTCCTATCCGGTTCTCCAAGCGAGCAATCAAGCAAACTTAGTTGACTGCACAACAACAGCCACTTCGCTCGC